CTCTCAGCTGACTCAGGTCTGAACTGTTACCCCTGATCTGTACCTCATCCTATCCTTCTGACCACTGGCATTGTTTTTGATCCTCCCATTATGCTGTTTATGTTCCCTTTCAGATTATTTTTTAAAGATTTCATTTATTTATTTATTTATTCATTCATTCATTCATTCATTTATTTTAGAGAGAGAGAGAGAGTGCACATAAGCACGAGCAGGGGAAGAAGCAGAGGGGAAGGGAGAGGGAGGAGAAAGAATCTCGAGCAGACTCATTGCTGAGCCCCAGTCCCATGACCCTGAGATCATGACCTGAGCGAAAACCAAGTGTTGGAAGCCTAACCGACTGACCCACCCAGGCACTTCCCACTTCAGATTTGATGCACATGTTTGACTCCCTAACCACATTGCTGAATTTGGCTGTAGTGCCGCCTCTTCATCCATAGGGCATCTCTGAACTACCTTGGTAACTCTACTTCTAGACTGATTTACTCTGTCCTGGTGGGATCCTTTTAGTCTGGAGCCTGAGAGGGTTTTACCAGAGGTGAGGTTACCATGAGGCTAATGAAGTTTAAATTCCAGGTTCCATGCTCACTTGGTTTCCTGTGGGATTCTGGGAGTTGTAGAATGTTCCAGGTGGAGAGAGGAAGCAGGTTGCAATCAGGAAGCATTTCTATGTAAACATTTATGTTACTCAAGAGATCTCAGAGAAAGGAACTTGAATCTCTACAGCTTCAGCATTTTAGGGTGATTTCTTATCACATTCTAAATAAATATTTACTTTTGTACCAAATTGTGCCTTCATAATTTTGTGTTCTTATTCTTAGAAAGGATCACACAAACTATATCTTCAGGCCACACAAATTCGCAGTGGGATCTGCCACTGGTTTTTACTAAATGAGGTACCTGGGTGTTTTGCTAGTACTTATTTACCTGCATTTAGTAACACACAACTTAGAAGAATAAACAAACTAAGTAGAATCTAGAGAATACCCAAATGACTCTAAAATCAATGCTTTGCTGACTCTTACAAGAGAACTGGAACTTGCTGGCAGCCAGTATATTGCAGTGTTAGTATTAGTGACTGCTGTAAGACTGGAATTCACATACTTACTTTAGTTCAAGTCGGCATGCCTTTGTGGAACGCCTACTGTGTGTGATCAAGGTGCTGGGCCAGAATCATTTTTTAGTTTAAATGCAATTTAAGAGTCATTTGAAATTGTCTTAACAGTGAAGTATTTTTAGTTCCTTGGAACTCTAATAGTAGTTCTCTTTAAAGACATAAAAAATTGGAGCCACTGTGATAAATATGATTAAATGCCAGGGAACAACAATGATAAATTGTTGGCAAAATCATTTGATGTTCTCTGAAACAAAGAGACTTGTCAGTCTGCCAGTGCTGAGGGTTTCAGTGCAGAGGATATAAAATGAAAAGTATCCTTAATATTTTTTGTAGATAGTTTCATAGATGATGGCCCTGGGTAGGTTTGGGGTAACTATTTTTCAAACCAAGGAACCTAAATTGAAAATGAACTGCTTTATGTTCATCATTTCATCATTGTTTTAAAATCTGTCATTCAATCAGTATCAAATACTTGTGTTTGAGAAATATCATAAAATTCCTAAAAGACAAGTAAATATATAATGTCAGGTACTGATAAATGTTTTGAAGAAAAACAAAGTCAGAGGAGAGAGATTGATGTTTGGGGGTGGGGGTGCTGTTTTAGAAATGCTGTACTGACTTCCTAGCTATTCCTCGAATTTGCCAAGCAGATCCCCACTGGTTAGAACCTTTTTTGCACTTGCAGTTGCTTCTTCCTGGAAAGCTTTGTTTCCTTCAGTCTACTGCTTCAGTTATTTTCTGACTTCACTCAGTTTAAAAAAGTAGTATCTTCCACCATTCTGTTCTTTTTCCCTACTGTACAAGCATATCTTTACCATTTGATTTTGGGAATCAAAGAAATTAAAAGAAATTCTTGGGGCACTTGGGTGGCTCAGTCAGTTAAGCATCTGCCTTCAGCTCAGGTCATGATCTCAGTGTCCTGGGATGGAGCCCCATGTTGTTGGGTTCCCTGCTCAGCAGGGATTCTGCTTGTCCCTCTGCCACTCCCCCTGCTCGTGCTCTCACTCTCTCTCTCAAATAAATAACAAAATCTTTAAAAAAGAAATTTTTTGATAAATCCTTTGCTGTCTGAACTCTTACTACTTGCTCTCAAATTCAGAAATTAAAGAGATTTTTAAAATATCTCTTGCTATTTCATCTGTATATCTGAATTAGGAACCCAGTAATTTTGTATAGTAAAGGATACTTGTTTTCTTCATAGCACTTTATACCCTCTGATTTGTCTTTCTGTTTGTCTGCCTGACTCCCTCACTCCTTCCACAGTGGCTGTGGAATGGCTGGGACTTTGTTTTGTCCACTGCTCTATCCCCATCACCTGGAAGAGTGCCTGGTACCTAATCAATTCTCAATAAATATGTGTTAAATATACGTGTTAATAGATGAATGAATTATTGCTCTCTAGCTATGTTGATTTTCTTTCACTAGCTTACATTTACTAACCTCTTTCCTTTGCAGAGTTATTTCATTATGTGCTTAATATCTGTCTCCTTCTATATTATAAATTCTGTGCGGCTAGAGACCATGGTACCATTTACTTGTCAGTACCTAGCTAATGCCTAATATGTAGTAGGTACTGAAACATTCTATGGGGGAATGAATGAATGAATGATTAGGAGAAGTTCCTAGTAGGAACACCATATCTAATTTAATGGAAGTTAAGGGAAGTGAATTTCAAGCTGGGATCTGAAAAATGAGGATGAATTAGCAGGTGAAGACCACCAGGTAGAGTGTTCTGGAGCTTAAGCTCAGACTTTATCTAAAAGCAATAGAAGAATTTTAAAAAAGTGGCACTATCAGACTTGCATTTTAGATGGACCATTTTTCAGTGGTGTTAGGAATAGACTGGATGGGGCACCTGGGTGGCTCAGTCGTTAAGTGTCTGCCTTCGGCTCAGGTCATGATCCCAGGGTCCTGGGATGAAGTCCCGCGTCAGGCTCCCTGCTCAGCGGGAAGCCTGCTTCTCCCTCTCCCACTCCCCTTGCTTGTGTTCCCTCTCTCACTGTGTCTGTCTCTGTCAAATAAATAAATAAAATCTTTAAAAAAAAGGAATAGACTGAATGGGTAGTGTCAAAGCAGAGAGACTGGTTGGGAGGCTTTAGTGATAGATGGTTGTGGTCTCCATTGGGTTCTTGGCAATGGGCAGAGAGAAGTAGATACACTTGAGAGATTTTTAGAAGGCTGAATAAGTGATTGGGGCTAGTGAGGGAAAGGGAAGAGTTCAGTATGATTCCAGGCTTCCACCTTGGCAAATGAGAAGAACATAGGGCTATTCACTGAGACTGTGTCCTCAGAGGGAGGAGTCATCTAAGGAGAAAAGAGTCTGAGGAACCCTTAAGACCTATCTAAATTGAGCCTGAGCCTTAAGGCTGAGCCTTAAGAACTTGGTAATATAGCTGAATTTTCTAGGTATAGATACTGAGAAGCCTGGAAAGAAATAATCAAAATAATCAAAATGTTAATAGTATTGGAAGTCTAGTTATGTTTCTAAATTTTTCTTAATAAGCTTTGATTATCATTATTGGTGTGTTTTATGAAGGAAAAGTAATAACCTTTTAAAAATTATATTAGGGTCTGCCATAGGAAATGCTTTACCAAAAAAACCCAAGGACACAAAGCTAAAGCCTTCCTAGGCTATTCCCAATGAAAATAAAGTATTGAGTATTTTGTAGTTTTCTCAGTACAGATCCTTTGCCTCTTTGGTTAGATTTATTCCTAGGTATCTTATGGTTTTGGGTGCAATTATAAATGGGATCAACTCCTTAATTTGTCTCCCTTCTGTCTTGTTGTTGGTGTATAGGAATGCCACTGATTTCTGTGCATTGATTTTATATCCTGCCACTTTACTGAATTCCTGTATGAGTTCTAGCAGTTTTGGGGTGGAGTCTTTTGGGTTTTCCACATAAAGTATCATATCATCGGCATTCAGATGTGGTATACATACACAATGGAATATTATACAACCATCAAAAGGAATGAGATCTTGCCATTTGCAACGATGTGGATGGAGCTGGAGGGTGTTATGCTGAGCGAAATAAGTCAATCAGAGAAAGACATGTATCATATGACCTCATTGCTATGAGGAATTCTTTATCTCAGGAAACAAACTGAGGGTTGCTGGAATTGTGGGGGGGTGGGAGGGATGGGGTGGCTGGGTGATAGACATTGGGGAGGGTATGTGCTATGGTGAGCGCTGTGAATTGTGCAAGACTGTTGAATCACAGATCTGTACCTCTGAAACAAATAATGCAATATATGTTAAGAAAAAAAAAAGAAGAAGAAGATAGCAGGAGGGGAAGAATGAAGGGGAGTAAATCGGTGGGGGAGACGAACCATGAGAGATGATGGACTCTGAAAAACAAACTGAGGGTTCTAGAGGGGAAGGGGGTGGGGGGATGGGTTAGCCTGGTGATGGGTATTAAAGAGGGCACGTTCTGCATGGAGCACTGGGTGTTATGCACAAACAATGAATCATGGAACACTACATCAAAAACTAATGATGTAATGTATGGTGATTAACATAACAATAAAAAAATTTAAAGAAAAAAAAAGAAAATATTGTTCTGAATAGAAGCCCACTGTGGAATGGGTTCACCTTTAGCGTGTGTGTGTGTGTGTGTGTGTGTGTGTGTGTGTGTGTTGGGGGTTGGGGCAAGAGAGGAGTGGTCATTCAGAAATTTAACCTTTTCATTCAGAGAAGGTCTGCTGGAGCCAGAAAGTGTCTCTTACTTATTCACTTATCCTTAATCTTCAGCACGGTCCCTGACAGTAATGGCTTAAGTGAAAGCTATTATTTTGGATTTTGTTATTAACACACTTATTTTTATTTATATCACTATTCACTGTAATTGTTATACAGTGATGTTATTTGTATCATCTTGGTTTGTAGGTAGATTGGGGCCAACTCGACTATTTAGTTGTTGACATGCCACCAGGAACTGGAGATGTGCAGATATCAGTCTCACAGAATATTCCCATTTCAGGTAATCTTAAACTTTAAAGTAATTTTGCTGTCTTTGTTGTTTTGCTATTGCCATATAGAAAAACAAACTCTATGACAGGCAAACATTTGTATGTCTTCAAAACAGTTATTTATAAATTTTTATTTAGGGATCAGATTCATAAATTAAAATTTTCAAAATATTACCAGACTGTGTTTACAAAAACGTAAAGACATTTTGAAAAGGTGGTGATATAAATCTGTGTTCTAGAAAAACAATAACACTTAAGTATTGTTTGGGTAGAACATGGCTGTTTGGTTCACAGTCACCTGCAGTGACTGCTACGTGGCAGGCACTCAGTAAATATTTATTCAGTAAATACTGAATATAAGTAAATATTAGGAAAATTTGGCTTTTTGGTAAATATGAGTATGGGAAAATTTTATATTCAGCTGATTATTTAATGTTAACCTTAAGAGGGCAATAAACACATGAGCTTACATCAACTACACAATACTTCATTATGGTAGTAGATATCTTTTCTGTGATACAGAATTTAAATATCAGTAGTTAGCTTTTGTGTTGAATCTGTTTCCAAGGATTTTCCTAAATTCCAGTGGAGAAATAATTGTAAATCTCTCTTATATATAAAGACTTTGGGAAAATAATGGAATTTTTTTTTTAAGATTTTATTTATTTATTTGACAGAGAGAGACACAGCGAGAGAGGGAACACAAGCAGGGGGAGTGGGAGAGGGAGAAGCAGGCTTCCCGCTGAGCAGGGAGCCCAATGCGGGCGGGGCTCAGTCCCAGGACCCTAGGATCATGACCCGAGCCAAAGGCAGATGTTTACCGACTGAGCCACCCAGGCGCCCCAATAATGGAATTTTAAAATGTCATTACAAATCAGTTATTTATTGGTAATAAGTAACCAAGAAATATTACTGACATTTAATCATCAAAAGGTTTAGAATCTAGATTTTTGATAAATTATACACATTGATTGGAAATATCAATATAGCATCATGAAAATGAATTTTTTTTGAGGCTGCCCCAAAGGGCAGTAACATGAATATTTTAGATATTTAAATATATTTGTTACCTTATTTGAGTTTGAGACTTTTTCTTTGGTGAAGCAAGCTAGAAAGTATGAGATGGGAGTAAATTGAAATGACATAGGAAAGTAGTTGAATACATCTTTTTTGTAATCAGTGTGCTAGATAGTCTGCTTTTGTTTTTTTTAAGTAGTTTTCAAACTTGTGTATCTCTGAATCCTAAGAATACTCACTAAAAGATTATTGAATAAAATGTGCTCCTGGCACCTTGAAATGCCTGTTGCAGACTTCCAAAATGCTTACATTATTTATGTGTATAATATATTGATAGAATTGGGCTAAATTATCATCTGTTCCCTGAATTGTGACTTGGTACATTGAAAAAGTTAAATTTACTTCACACAGATAAACTGATAGCCCCAAGCAATTTACCTTTGTTTACTCAGATAACAGCCCCACTATTTGGATAGGATTTATGATTATATCACCCTATTTTTATTTGTGCTTATACTCTAAAACCAACAATGTATAGATTGAGGTTAAGATTTGCTTCTTTCTTATATGCTAAAATTTAACCAGTAATATTTCTTTATTCCTTTCCTTTGATGAAGAGTCTGCCCTGTAATAAATAGGTCATTAATATCATATGATAATAAAAAGCAGTATTTTTTTGTTGTAGTGGTGGTAAAACATAACAGTTCAGTAGTATTGAGTACATTCATATTGTTGTGCAACCATCACCACCATCCAACTCCAGAACTTTCTCATCTTCCCAAACTGAAACTCTATCTGTTAAACAATAACTCTTCATTTCCTCTTCTCGCTAAATCCTGATAACCACCATTCTTTCAGAAACAGTATTTTTTATGTTAAGATGAGGAAATGAGGAATGAGAAAAATATATGAGGAAAATATATTTTAAAGGATAGATAAATTTTACATATTCAATATTGACTTTATGCTTCAATAATAAAATTTTAAATCAGCAAATATTTATTCATATAAATATAGATGCTAAGTACTATAGAAGATCCAGGGGTAATTAAGTCACAGGTATTTTCCCTAGACCAGAGTTCTGTGATACTCAGAACTTTTTTGAGATTGATTAATATATGGGTTCTCCCCAGGGAGATGTATTTGTATCTACAGAAATACTATTTTAATGTGTCATTTCAGGAAGTCCACAGTTCTTAGGTTAGAAGCCCCAGCTCTAGAAGATAGAACAAGGGAAAGGGCAGGGTGGGGGGGCAAATGGCTGCTAAGAAAAGAAGTACAATTCAGTGTGAAAAGTGCGATATGAGAAATCTAAACCCCATGACATCAGGGCTCTCACAGGACAAAGAGATGATGGATTTGAGGGGAATTATAAAACACTGATGGAGATGAGCTTTAAAGAGTAAATATGAGGGGTGCCTGGGTGGTTCAGTCTGTTAAGTGTCTGACTCTTGATTGAAGCTCAGGTCATGATTGCAGATTCTCTCTCCTCTCTCCCTCTGCCCCGCCCCTGTGTGCTCTCTCTTGGTCTCTAAAAAAAAAAAAAAAGAAAAAGATTAAATATGATACGTTGTAGGGTGCCTGGGTGGCTCAGTTGGTTAAGCGACTGCCTTCGGCTCAGGTCATGCTCCTGGAGTCCCGGGATCGAGTCCCACTTTGGGCTCCCTGCTCGGCGGGGAGTCTGCTTCTCCCTCTGACCCTCTTCCCTCTTGTGCTCTCTATCTCTCATTCTCTCTCTCTCAAATAAATAAACTCTCTCTCTTAAATAAATAAAATCTTTAAAAATAAATAAATAAATAAATAAATAAATAAGTATGATACGTTGTAGAGCATTCAGGATAGCACCATACCTTGTTTGCTTTGCTTTTTCTCAGCCTAAGGGGAAGAAATCAGAAAATGAAACTTCAGGTGTTCATTATTCTATTACAGAAACATAACATATATTTTACTTCCCATTAAAAAAAAAAGTGATGCATTAAAAATAAAATAGGGCCAGGTACTAAAGATGCTTTTGAAAATTCATAAACTTAGTGATTTCTGGACTATGGAAGTAAAATTATTATTTATTAGTATTTTCTAAATTTTCTTTAATGAGCATGTATATATTTATCATTTTAAAAAGTAAATGGAAAGCACTAATTTTTTAAAGACATCTTTCTGTATAAGTTGGTACCATGATAATTGCCCATTATTAATAAACTGCCATTTAAGGACAGTCTTTCATATATTAATTTTTCTATTTAATTATCACAGGTATTATCCTTATTTTCTTAAATCTTTGAAGAGTTAAGCAGCTTTCCCAAGGTCACACAGTTACAGTAGTTCATAGCTGAGGCTCATATCAGTTCTGATTGTGTTTAAAGCTCATGCTCTCAACCTGTACTTAAAGCTGTTCTAATACAAAGCCCAACAACATTTGACTTAGTGATTTTCTGAGTTTAGTTCTAGTCCATTCAAACTCATTAGGTTGAAATTAGCCTAATTATTCCCTGATAAAAATAAATTTGTTCATGAATATGCCTAAACCTGTGCACCCCTATGTGACAAGTATGCAACCAACAGTCTGTATTAATGTTTACTATGTTCAGTTTTGTTTCTGTTTTGATTCCTGAGAGATTGCTTTGGGCTTCTTTAACTCATATATTCCAGGAAAGGTCTGGAGAGTGTCTAGAAGCAGTCTCTTTTGACCTTTAGGAGTAGAGCCCCAAATGATTCTTGGAAAGACCAATATCATCTTTGGGCTGATCATACTGGTCTTGGACAGCTAGTTTCTAGGAACACTGGCTCTCAGTATAGAATTGCAACTATCAGTGTTAGTACATTCATACTATGGGTCATTATGTCAATATTAAAATTAACAGCAACGAAAAAACTAGATTTTCAGCACTGAACATCTATTAATTTTATACTTAGAAAAAAAATTCAGCAATAAAAGTATCCTACCAAAATGATGTGTGTAGGGTGGGAGGGAGATACATGTGATTGTGTGTGTGTGTTTATGCGTGCGTGTGTGTTAAAGGCTTAGTTCCTCAGGTTTGGGCTATCTCCCAGGAAGGGTACCAACCAATGAGTGGCTGAACTGGTTTGAATCATGGCTTTCATCAGTTTATATTATCTGGAACAGCCTATCAGATCCATATCATTCTTTCTAGGCCTAAATGAATTATCTCTTCTCTAATTATGAACCCAATTTTCCTTTCCTCTTATTATTGACTTTAGAACCCTTTTAAGATACTCTGTGTTCTACCTTTTCTTATGTCCCATATTCCATAAACCATATAAGCTTTTAAACTCCCATTTGAGCCCCGCCCTGTGATTTGACTTCCCTCTCCTTCCTCCTAAACTCCTTCACATAACCTGGGAGTCCCCTCCCAAAACCCTTAGGTACTCACTGCCCCCTCTAGTCTCCCTTTACTTCCCAAAGTTTCTGTCTTTTTATATATTTGACCCTCACTTAGACTATCTTTCTTCTCTAATCAGTGGGTATACAGATCCTGCATACCCTTTATTTCAAATGTCTACTCCCTGTCATCTTCCTCAAATTCCTACTTGGGAATCATTTCTTCGTCTTTGGAATTCACGTAGCATTTCATTTAGACCACTCCTATAGCACTTCTAATGTTCTCCATTTATAGCCTGCAAAGCTGTGTTTTCTTCAGACTGTTACTCCCTGGAGGGCTAAGGATTTGTTTAATTCGTCCTTGTATTTCTCACAGTGCCAAACTCCGTGCCTTCCTGTAACCACTCAGGAAATGTTGAATCAGTGAATGAGTGTTTTATCTGTGTGCCTGTATTATCTTCTCAACTGGGATGTAAGCTACTTGAATACAGAACTTTTTCCTATTCATCATAGTATTTCTTAGAGTACCTTGGACAGTGGCTTATATAATTAATATTGATTGAATAAATAACAAAGCTAGTTGACTAGTTATCACCTTTTATTTAAACAGATTTGTGCCTCCTTATCTTTCTTACCATCCTGCTAGCTCAGTCT